CCCTTTAGCCTTTGCGTACTGATTTAATCTGCCGTTTGATTCGATGACAGTGTTTCGACCTTCTGTTCCAGTTACAAAATACGGCCAGTGGCAATCAACAATTTGGTATTGGAAGAGCAATATCCTTTACTTCATTACTATATCCAAGACAATCCAGTCGTTAAAGGCAAGTAGCAGATTTCACCACGTCGCCGCCAGTCTGCAGGACAGACTGGCGGATACATGTATGTATTCCGAGCAAAAAGACGCCGAAGTTGTAGAAAATTATTTCTGTGTTTGTCAGTTGGCAGTTGGGGACTGAATGAATGAGACTGAATTCGTGGTTTGGTGTCCACCTCTGTATCTGGCAGATTGTAACGCACCTTACCGACCGTGCTTTGACAGTATCTTGGCGAGTTGAGCACCGTAATTTAAATATGATACCGTAGTGTTGTTCGTGTACCACAAATTGCCTCTTGCCCAATATGATTATCAACACAACCATTTTTTGCTACGTACTAGTGAAAATCTCCAAGGCAACAAAGACAACGACTTGCTGTTTCCGTGGCAACGTCTCCCTCGAGATCAATCAGATATATAGAAAGCTGAGGAAGTAAATTCGAGTGCTGCAACATGCCTGAATCATCAACGCTCCCACGTCAATACAGCTAGACGGCAATTTTGAAGGGATGTGTTTTCATTGACTTTTTAATGGTGATTTTCATTACTTGGAGTTCTCATGTCTTTTTCCACCCATGATTAGTCAGCCATTCTAAAGTTTTGTTCTTTGACAATTCCATAGAAGCAGTCACTTTAAGTCACCATCCGTTAAGAATCCAGGCCATTTTTCCTTCACCATGAGAAGTACAGATTCTTTTAGCATTTAACACTTCAATTCTTTTAACACCGGAAAGGCCACGTGTGGCTGTTAAACACCAGATTTTTAGGGACCCGCCCCCTAAAACCACACCCAAAAAAATCAGCGTGTTTGCGCTTCTGCTTCTTATTATCTCCTCTTTACTGGTGTCGGCGAATGTGGGCCGTTTGGCAGCTGCCCGAGGCGCCCTTGTATGCCATCAGCTCAATTTGTTTAAATGTATTCATTGTTCCACGCTTAATGTCTTCGTTATACAGCGCATTTGAGCATGAAATTTGCGCTTTATAAATAAATAAATTGTTGTTATTATTATTATTACTTTCCATTAGCTCTACATCTAAAACAAGACGAAGCTTAATGTAAATATCGGCAACAGGTTTGATGCTGTGGTGAAAGGTGGTCACAATAAGCCTCGGGAACAAAGCCAACCCCATTTAAAAATGGTTGACACGCCCCCCCCCCCAAAAAAAAATGGTATGAATGATAATAAATGAACTCAAGTTAATCGAGCCTTGAAGCATTTCTGCCTTGCACTTTACATCTCACTATAAATATGCATAGGGAGTTTTAAAGAGGAGATGCGTAATTAAGGCAAGATTGGTCATGTTGACTGCTCCCACGTCTCCGGTTAGCCAAGATATTCTGCCACTCATACACGACCCCTTTATTTTCAAATGACTGGAGGGGACAAGCAAACGATACAGTCGCCCAGTAATTGATAGCAGACACTTGAAAGAAAAGCACTAATAACATGGTACCTGAAAATGGCGAATATTGATTTGTTAGTGGCTTTTTACATGCTGTTGTAGGGCACGCACTTTCCGAAGGTGTATAGACTTAAAAGTTTATTGTAGTTGCTGAATCACCACTGATAAACTTCCTCTTCTGGCCACGGTTGCGTTTCCCGATAGTCCACATTACTTTTGAGTCTACAGTTCGAAAAAGTAACAATTTTCTTGGGTCTTCATGAAACTCTTTTCGTCTGCTTCACTCCAGGTCACGTTCTTCAATTGACAAAGCATCCCCGCTCGGCCTTGCTTCACCAGATTGAAGGAGCGGCAACGGGGTTCCAATCGGCAGGCCATACCGCACTCCACCACACCCGTTACCGGTATCTCCTTGAGGTTGTGACCGACCAGACAGGCTGAGGCGGGGCGGCCGTCGGTGTTGATCAGAAGGCAGACGGTGGGTACGGACATAAGGATTGCAGGGAGTTGACAGACTGCGAAATTCAGCTCTCTGCAGGGCCGGTCTCCCCATCGACCGCCGTTACTACGGATCATTGCCGCGCAGTCGGCACCGTTGTTGTTATCTGGTTGGTTTCCTCTCCAGTTCTCGTAAGCGTTGGAGCCGTCGTCCCTTAGCGGGCAGGGACGCCAGTTTCCCTCTTCCTCAAAGTCACTGCAAGCGATCCAGATGCGTTCAGGAAACTGTCCGTTGACTGTCTCCTGGAGCATTCCCCATATTGCGTCTTGTTCCATTTGAGATCGAGGCAGGGCCAGCTGAGCTTCCTTAGCGAAACATGCTTGATTAGCTTCCTCCCAAGACATGCTAGTCGTAATAGGGAAGTAACAAATATCACCATATTGCCGCCAGTCTGCAGGACAGACTGCAGCCTGGCTGGCATATAGTCCAACCAAAAAGACGATAGCTTCAAAAGCACTCATATCCATACGATCCCTGCTGCAGCTTGTTAGTAGCACGAA